CTAGAAAACTTATATAACTATACAGTACAATAATTTAGTATCGAAAGGAATTTGGGCCTCTAAACTTTTCAGGCAAGGTGACAGAGACCCGCGACAGCCAGGTGTGTGGCCCAGGTGTCAGAGCGAGGTCTAACAGCCTTGCGTTCCTGGCTTCCAGGCCAGTTCTTCTGTTCCCAGGGACTGCCCTTAGTCGTTGAAGGAGAGGTAGCAAACTGGTGACCCGAGATTCTTCTTTTTCTTCTTCTTCTTTTTAAGCTAAGAGTCCATGTTGAAACACTGGGAGATTTCACGAAAATCTGGATTTCTGGTTTCTTCGGGAAGCACCGAGCCCACGCTTCTGCAAGACTGTTGGCGTTAACGGTGGCTTCTGCCTTCCTGCAGGTGATGTACCCTCTAGTTCAGCACGGTCCCCTCTGCTCCCTGCGACCTCCCCAGCGTTGAGCCTGATGGCCAGCAGCCATTTAGGGTCAAACTTGTGCTGTCGTATTTCCGATAGTAGAACTAAGAAGCACTGTCTCTCATATCCACGTCTCTGTTAAAGGTGGGCTGTGTTTCAAGACGAATGGGTATTTTAAAAAGTAAAGTGTGTCAGGGCCAGAAGAATACAGTTCAAGGTGATATTATGAAACAGATCTGTTTGGCACCTGTAGGCGTTGGGAGTTGCAACTCTCAATACCGTCGTCATCAGAAGAGCTTTGGGTACGTCTTTTCACTGGGGGGCTGCAGTATACCTTTGACAAGTTTTGAAAGGAGATTTTCGTAGAGAAAGTGGAACAAAGAGAGGACATGGGACCCCTCTCTCCCCTCGCCCACAGCAGAGCTACTAAAAGGAGGATCAGTTTGTTTAGATCCTGAGTCCGGTTGTCCAAAAGACTGTGCTTTGGGAACTCTGCACCGACTTCCCGGAGGATTACCTCGATCTGCTCACGGGCTGTCATGCAGCAGAACTCGGGGGAGTCGGAGCTTGGGGGTTCCTCTGCCACTTGCTGACTTGACCCTGACATTGCCTCGAGGACACCCACTTCTTATTCAGAGAAATAAACTGCAAATAAGCCACAGCCCAAATGTACCACACTCGTGGTTCCCTGGACAAGAGGTGCGGTGCTCTACCCGCCTAGTACTGCAGATGGTCCGCCGCTGGCTCATCCCTGCACGTGAGCTCCCTTCTGGTCTCTGCTTCCAGCCGTCCTTCAACTCCACCAATATTTCTTTTGTGAAGCCAGGAGGCTCCATAAAGGTTAAAAATAATTCAGCGATGTTGTGCTGAGCATAATTGGCATGTCGTGAGCCATCTGGAGAGCAGGAGAACCAGTTCTCTTGCTTCTCTTGGTTTGGTCTGTTTACTCTGCTGGTGCCCGTCCCTGACGCTTGGGCCGGGAGACCTGCTGAGGAATGCTTCCTCCGGGGTTCCGACAGGCATGGCTATTTGTCATGGCCTCAGAAGCTGCTTGGGGACAGGTAAGAGGAAGACCGCCCTTTCGGGAGGGATAATTATGGTCAGTGACCTCGAGCTTGTAGCTTGGCCTTACTCTGTGCCCGAACTCAGGTGTGATTCAGGAAGTCATCTGTCTGTTTTTGTGTGTCCGCATGGGTGATTTCCTTACCTGCTTTACGGCAGGGAAACAGCCTCGGGTACTGCTGAGGGGACAGGGTTCTGAATCAGGCCTTTTGCCTGGCTGAGCACAGGGCTTAGAGGAGGAGTCTCTGTGCGGGAAGGATTAAGTCGAGGGAGGAGTCGTGGTCATCAGGGGACCAGACACCTGGCAAAACCAGGCACGACCGCCCACCTCCTCTCTGACTTACCCCCAAAGCATGATTGAACTGGAGGGGGTGTGTGGCAAGCAGGTATTTGATTCAGCGAGGCGGGCGGGGGCCTGAACCCTGTCCCTTCACAGCCCCAAGACCCTACTGGTTGCTTTTTTTCCAGGGAACGGGAAGCCTGGGGATCTCAGACCTTGACCAGTGAAGTCTGTCTTGGCCTTGTGTAGCCTCGTCACATGAGCGGCCTGATGAAGTAGAACTAGGGAAGAATAGCTAGACTTTGCAGGGGCTTAGGAGGCTCTTTGACTTACCAGGAATGCAGCGGGTCCAGGATTATCCAGGAGTCACCGTGTTAACACAGTGCCTGGAGGGGAGGCCCCGTCATTAACCTGGCTTCCTTGAGGTAGACAAACCCCGAGCAGATCGGGGTGGTGCTTGATCGCCCCTTCCCTTGCCTCCGTGTGACCCTCTCAGAACTAGTATTCCCTTTGAAATGATCAAGGAAGTAGTCTGGTTAGCATTATGAGAGATTCTTCCAGTTCCATACCTCTTACGTCATATGTAACAGGGTGATGGAAGAAAACCCCTTAATGGCCAGACCAGTGGGGGCCACATCAAAGCTGTGGTCATTATACCAGTTGTGGTAAATGAATGTGGATCCCAATATAGACAGCGTTTTATCCTTGTTTGTTTTCAAATGAAGCATTTGGCTTGTATATTATGCTTGAAACATCGAGCATCAAAATGCATGGTCATATTTGAATATGAATGCCACCTGTTTTAATGGTAATTGCCATTTTTATTATGTGTATGGCAGCACAAGTGTATTATTTTAAATGATATAGATGACATGTAAGGTGGATAGTGAGTTAAATAATGACTGTTGCTTCATGGGGCCTGTGTAGGATGTACCAGTTTAGCAGATGAGGTCATTTGAATCACATGGAAAGGTCGCCTTCACCCGCCTGTCAGAATGCATGGAAATCACAACTATCAGCAACATGGTCCAGGGGATGCTGAACTCTTTTCCTACCCCCTCCCTCCCTGCACCCCGCCTCCTGCCCCCTCCCACAGGCTTGGCATCGTTCTGCATGGTGAAGTTCCACCAGGGAAAAGCCCCAGTGTGCAGTGGGTCTGTACCCTGTCCGAACCCTTCTCTGGACCCACAGCCAGAAATGGGGTGTGGTCCGGGGAGTAGCCCGGGCGTGTGCCAGCTGGGGCCCGTGGCCAGGATCCCTTCCCTTCTGACACTCTCAGGGAAGGGTCCGCCCAGCTGGAGCCACGGTCGCCATGCCCCCTACTCCGTCCCCGACGGTGGTACCTTCTCAACATCCCCTTTGTGCCGGCCTGGCTTTGGTGCTCCAGGAATTACGGGGTGAAGCTGGTGGGGGCGCTGCGTGGAGCCCCACATGGCATGTCTGTCCACCGGGCACCCCTGCAGGAGGAGCGGTGTGTCCAGCCCTGGGCCCCAGGCCTGCTCCAGCACAGCGAGGGCTTCCTAGGTCAGCAGCTCCGGACAGTCAGGCCGGCCCGTGAGGCCGTGACCCCGAGGTTAAGTCTAAGTCAGGGGGCTCCGCATACAGAACTTGGGAGGCCAGGGTGGCCATAGTGGAGCCCTCCTCTGTGTGCACCCTCCTCGGGTGTCCAGCTGGCAGGGGGAGACGGCCCTGGCTTCCAGAAGTGCCGCCCAGCTGTGGGAGGCCGTCGCATGGCGGTGTTTCAACAGCTTCTCCAGGGATCAAAGGCTCCTCAGCTGAATGGGAATCTGTGGTCTGAGGATTTAATTGGTTTCTACAGCCCCCCTCGGTCCCCCCGCCCCAACCCCAGTGGCAGACAAAATATCGGGCCAAAGGGCCAAACAATGGTGGATGGGGGTCTCCCCGTCTGGTCTCCAGCCGGACTTTTCCTGATGCGGAGCTCGCGGCGGGAGCACAGGGATACTGTTGGTGGCTCTGACACCTGCTGGCCGTCCTGGAAACTGCGCCCTGGGAGGGTCCCCTCTGCTCGGATCAGTTTTAGGGCTGTAGCTGCCCTGCTTCTAATTCTAACGTAAGAGGTACTTTATACGTTAGTTATTGTGAATCGAATTACTTATAAGTAACGTTCTTTGGCAAATACACGTGGACAGAAAACTTCTGCAAAGATGTACGGGAACAGTATGGGGAGCGCAGCCAGGTCTGGGGGACTTCTTGTATGGTGTACCTTTGGGTTCTCTCTGAAATCTGTTTTAAACAGAAAGGGGTGTGTTGCTTTAGTCCTTGTAGCTGAGGTGCTGTGCTGGGGCGGGAGGCCCAGAGGTGCAGGATGTTCCCTAGGGGCCCCTGCCCCTCCCCGTTCCTTGTTTGGGCTCCTCGAGTGCCGTCATGCGTGTGCGGGAGCCCGTGTGGCTGGACTCTCACCCTGACCCTGCTCACGAGTGGAGGCTGGGCCTGGAGCGAGCAGCAGCTCCCGCGGGGGCCCTCCTGCCGGGCTTGGGCTGCCCACCCCCCAGGGGTGAGCTCAGGGCAGGGGCTCCAGGTGGAGAGCTGAGCCCTCGCTCAGGTACCCACTCAGGGAGCGGGGCTGCGGGCGGGTGTGCCTGCGGCTGGTTGGCAGGAGAGCTGGGTCTGATGAAAACACCCACTGCCTCTGTGCCTCTTACCGTCTGATACCAACACGACCTTCCCCCGTTGAACAGACTTCCTGCTGCATTCCCTCTCCGCCCCGTGATGACATACCTGCTTTGACCACTTGTTGAGTCTCTGCTCCCGGACAGCAGACACCCTCACTGGGCTGGGCCCCTTCACCCAGCTCCCCACTGGCAGCCCAGAGACCCTGGGCGCTGAGTAGGCTTGAGGAGCATGCCCGGTGCTCAGGGCAGAGAGCCTCAGTGTTCAGCGGTGCCGGGTTGGGTCCCCGTGGAGGGGAGCTCCTTCCTGCACTTGCCGTGCGGTCCCTGAAGGGGGGACCAGAGCCCCGCAGTGGGGCTCATTGGCAGCCATTCTTCAGGAGAAGAAAATTGTAGCAACACATCGATTGTTGGCCTTTAGACCCAGAGGATGTGGTTCAGCTCCAGTGATTGGCTCTTTCAGGATACATACACCCTCAAGGAAACAAGATAGCATGAGTGCTATCCCAGGACTGGTTCCAGTGTCCGCCATCTTTTTGACTCCAAACAGCTGGGCCCCTCACCTGCTGGTGATCCCCCCTCTCCCTCCTCTGGGCAGCACCCCTGTTGCCTTCCCGGGCAACCAGGTCTCTTCCCTTTGCCTTTCCCCCTTCCTGCTCCTGCTGGCTGGATCACAGACGTCACGGAGCCCAGAGGCTGGAGGCCATGCTCCCAGGGAGATAGCAGAAGGCAGAGACCCTGATGGCCTTGCAGAACTGCTCTCCGACAACGCACCTCTAGTCTCCAGGGAAGTAGAAGAATGAATCCACGTATGTCAATGACCGGGTTTCCCGTTAAACGAAGTCAAGCCTAACTGGAGCAGATGCAGGGACCCTCAGTGATGCCCAGCTGTTTTCCTGCTCTCATCTACACGCTACGGCATGCGGGCAAAGAGCTCTAATAAAGAACGGAATCCCACAACTCGAATCTCTGCGAGGACCGTGTGTCACAATAAAATAGATCTGTTTGTGCTATTGTTCTTAGAACTATTGAATTCCAATGTTCTCACTGTGGGGTGGGGTGGGGCTGCACTTTCATGAACACACTGCAGGTCTCTCAGCTTCTGTTTAAAGATGGGGGATGAGTGAGGAGGAGGGGAGTGAGGATGCAAAGGGGAGAGGCAGGCTGCCTTGGTAAAGTGCACATTTGGAGCTTGCCGAACACCTTGGTCCTAAGCCCCTGAAAAGCTCACTTCCGTTCCCCTGCACAGGAGACGCTGGGGCTTGTTCCAGCCCTAGGACCCAGGTCTTTCTTGATCCTGGATGCATCTTTTGTTAAAAACAGCTTTATTAATGGGGCGCCTGGGGGGCGCAGTCGGTTGAGTGGCCGACTCTTGGTTTCGGCTAAGGTCATGATCTCAGGGTGAGATGGAGCCCCGCATCAGGCTCCGCACTGTTTTCTGTCACTAGGGCCATAGTTTGCATTCTTAAAGTTTTATGCAAATGCAATCGCATAGCAGTACTTTTTTTTTTTTTTTAGTCTGTCTTGTATCAGCATAATTTTTTTTAAAGATTCATCTATCTCGTTGTAGGGCGCCTGGGTGGCTCAGTTGGTTGGGCGACTGCCTT